AAGACTTTCTGTCAAAAGTTCTCAAGACATGCAGCATCTTCCATGCTGAAGTCTGTCCTTTGCAAAGTACCGCACATGCAAGAAAACTGTAAGGAGGTCACAGATCATTCTGAAGAGTCAATGCAATGTCACAGGCTGATGACAGGTTGACATCTAAGGTCATAGACCAGTTTTCTTTGGGGGAATGTATTCACAGAGCAGAAGAGCTGTATCAGCAAAATGTCACTGAAAGCTGTCACCAAATTCAACGAACAAGGTAGAGCACTGCTCACAAACACACCAACAGCCTAGTAAATCGAGAATCCTCCATCCCTTTTGCAAAGGCTGCAATAGAATAGCGTGTTATAGTAGTTTCTTGGGCCAAACGTAGATACATAAAGCCCTATTGAGAATGACAGTGCCAAGCTTTTCCATAACTGTGATGTTTGGAGTTTTTCCAAGCATCTCTTGAACAATTTTAGCAAAACTCCAATGGCAGTACTCATCACTTACCAACACCAAGGGGCAGGGTATAAAGGAAAGTCATGAATGAGCATGTGCAGCATGTAAAGACTAATCTCTGCTTTTATAAAGAGATAATCAACAGGTGATCAATTGGAAATGCAGAATAATGGCAGTGGTTTGCAGCATAGACCCTGAGTCAGACAGATCTGTGATCTAGTCTTACCCCCTTCATTTAGATGTTGTATGACATCAGGATATTATTTAATATCTGAACCTCAGTTTTTACATCTGTAAAAATGGGAGTAATAATAGCGCCTATTCTATGGGATGGAAGAAAGGATTAAATTAAAGTATGTAAATAAAGTACTCAGTACAATGTCTGGCACATAATAAATTATAAAAATGCTGCTTACTTTGATGATAATAATTACTATTATCATCATTACTAGTTACAATTAGCAAATGCTTTTCAAAAGTGAACACTTTGAATATAACTTGCATGTCATCTGATCTGGAAATATAATAAGGGTATCTAATTCCCACTGATTTAGTGAGTCAAACAGAAAACCAAAACAAATTGAATCATTCAACTGGTGTATTTAGAATTGCTGATGATTATAGCATTCAAGAAAGTTAGTGAAATACATAAATTGTAATTCACCTATCTTGAAAATCTCAAAAATAAGTTATTTGTCTAGTCTATCAGTGGGCAGGGCTTAATTGTTTAAAAATGTTTATTTAGAGGCTTCTAGAAAAGAAACATGTGCAAGGTGAATAAAGAGGGAATAAAGTGTGTTAATACAAGGCAGGTATGCCAAAATCATTTATGTTTCATCATAGACTTCAAAAAAGGATGCACTGCTTTTACACAGCACTTTATGCTTTTCATGGAATTTTCTCTGCATTGCCATCTTATATTTTTAGACACATACAGAGAGGGCCACATGTATACATACAATCTCTTTGAACCCAGCACTGATTATTTTCAAGTCAGCTCTACTATTGGAGTCCTCGCCCAGAGGGAGGAGAAGGTATGGTATTAGCAACAAGGTTGTAGGGCCAGTCCAGAAAATGCATTCAATGGACAATCTGATTAGCAAATTTTGAAAGGGGTTGGTATATGCATTTTACTTATCATCTAATTTAAAAAACTCCATAACACAACTTGGACAAAGTTACCAGTATCAAAGGTCCTAATGTAGCATAATTTGTGTTGAGTGTGTTACATTCTGACAGTGCTATAAACCAGAAAGACAGTTTACTGACAATTCTGTGCTACCAGATACCAACTCAGGCCTCTGTCCAGCTTTACATTGTCAATTCTCATGGAAACATGAGCAGTTACATAGCCTCAGAGGACGCTGAAGTTTGGATTGCAAAAGACGAGATGGACAGATTTCATATTTTCATTGCAGATTTTTTTCTTTGCCTTTTCAAACTGCTGAGCACAATTTTTTTTAAAGGCAGGAAATGCAACTAGTGTTTGTTTCTAGCATGGCTTCTGTTTTGAGATTTCTTCTTTGTAGAAGAAATGTGTTGCCCAGCTGTCTAGAATCCCAATCAGGATATCGTTTCAGCATGAAATATATTACAAGAATGATTTTAGCTGGTTATAAACTAGAATGAGTATTTGTCCAAATTTTACCCACAGAGGGGGCACTCTGATTCAGTTAAATGGAAATAATATAAATAAATGAGGTAAAGTTTAGTTCTGTGTTTTGCCCAGAAAAGAGTAATTGTGAAGGACAAAGAATTGCATTAGTGAACAAGCAGAGCTGTGGAGATTCTCAGTTACAGAGATTCTTAGAAACAAGAGTCATGTGGCAACTGGCCAAAAGTATCGCAATCAACATTTAACAGACTGGTTCAACCCAAGTTGAATTGCTGGAGAATTGAATGCTTTCCAGTTTTAATACTTCTCCTACCTGCAACACCCACACACATTGTTCAACAAATATTAATTAAAAACTCCCTGTATGAGGAACTCCTTGTATGAAAACACCAACGCTAGAACTGGTTAATGGGAAAAGATACAAAGATGATTCAAGTCCTAACTTTTTAGAGATTTGTGAAAGAGACAGACATTTCAGCCAGTATCCTATTTTTGATTCCAAGACTTACAAATTTTAATGTTTCTGAAATACAATCACCGAGTACATTTGATTATATCCTTTCCAAAAGTTGGCATTAAATCTATGGGTCTTATAATAGATGGAATTTTAAAAGTTAGAAGTGGATGTACTACTGTAAATTCAGCTACCCAGTGTAAGGGGAACAGAAAAGAAGTCTGACTGGATGATTCTTGAATGAAATTACTATAATCTGGGCCTTGACAAAAAAAAAAAAAAAAAGAAGAAGAAGAAGAAGAAGAGGAGGAGGAGGAAGAGGAGGAGGAGGAGGAAGGAGGAGGGAGGAGGGGGGGAGGGAGGAGGGAGGAGGGAGGAGGGAGGAGGGAGGAGGGAGGAGGGAGGAGGGAGAGGGAGGAGGGAGGAGGGAGGAGGGAGGAGGGAGGAGGGAGGAGGGAGGAGGGAGAAGGAGGAGGGAGGAGGAGGAGGGAGGAGGAGGAGGAGGAGGAGGAAGAAGAAGAAGAAGAAGAAGAAGAAGAAGAAGAAGAAGAAGAAGAAGAAGAAGAAAAAGAAGAAAGAAGAAAGAAGAAGAAAGAAGAAAGAAAGAAAGAAGAAAGAAGAAAGAAAGAAGAAGACGAAGAAATCTTCCAGGGCTGGAAGCTTGTGTATGTGGGATGGGGAGGAAGAGAGGAGGATATTGAAAGTAAAGGGAAGAGCATATGCAAAGACATTAAAAAACACAACAGTATGTAAATGTGAGAGTACAGTTTATATATTAAATAGATGTACTATGAAAAACAGAGGACCTGAAGCCAGCTATTATAGAAGCTAAGTGGGAAGCTAGAGTACAAGGATTTGGAGTTCTTCTGAAGACACTATTGACTGTTTTTAAGTGAAAGGAAAACTAACATGAGTCTGTCACATTCCTAAGGCAGTGCCATAAATGCTATCCAATTTAATTCTCCCAAATGTTTCCAAGGCATCCCCCACTGTTTTTCCTCATAGGCAACAGAGGCACAGGGAGGTTAAGATGCCAAGGATACATGCAGTAAGTCTAAGTTCTACCCCATCTGTATGATTTTAAAATCTAAAAACCCAGGAGTTGTCTATAACACCAACTTAAGATGTTTTGGTCTTTTCGTTTTTCATTTGCTAATTTTTTATTTTTATTTTTTGAATTAATATACTTTTTAAAGAGCAGTTTTAAGTTTACAGAAAAATTGAGTAGAAAGTACAGAGGATTACCATACATCTCTTCACCCTTCCAAAAGTTTTCTCTATTAATAACATCTTGTATTAATGGGGTAGATTATTACAATTGATAAGCCGATTTCCATGTATTATTATTAACTAAATATTATAATTTACATTAGGATTAACTCTTTGCATTGCATTATATGGGTTTTAACAAATACGTAATGACATGTATGCATAATTGCAGCATCATACAGAAATGTTTGACTGCCGGCAAAATCCCCTATGCTCACCTATTCATCTCTCCCTCTTTCCCCCGAACCCCTCCCACTGCTTCCAGTGATCATTTACTGTCTAAAGTTTTCCTTTTCCCAGAATGTTATCTTGTTGGAATGACACATTGTTACACTGGTTTCTTTTACTCAGCAATATGCATTTAGATTCCTTTAAGTCTTTTCATGGCTCGAAAGCTCATTTCTTTTTATCCCTGAATAATATTTCATTGTATGGATGCATTATGGTTTGTTTGTCCTTACACCTATTGAAGGATATCTTAGTTGCATTCTCGGTTTGCCAATCATGAACAAAGCTGCTGTAAATATTTGTGTGTAGGTTTTTGCGTGTACGTGAGTTTTTAACTCATTTGGGTAAGTACCAAGAAGTACTGGATCATACAATAAGAATACGTTTATTTTAATAAGAAACTGCCAAATTGTCTTCCAAAGTGACTGAATCATTTTGCATTTCCACCAGCAATGAAGGAGAGTCCTCTTGCTCCGCATCTTAGCCTGCATTTGGAGTTGTCGGTATTTTAGCCATTCTAACAGGTGTGTAATGGCATCTCATTGTTTTAATTTACAACTCTTGGATGGCATATGTACTTTCTAATTTAATTTGTTACCTATTATGTTTTTCTAATATCTGGTATTTCGACTTTTACACTTTCCATCATTCATTCTTCCATTCGTCAACATATAGTAAGTGTCCATTATAAGCCAGTAACATTTTTTGAATCTGGGTTATTTTTCTTTCTTTTACTTTTTCTATTCTTTCCTCCATTTTTACTTTGACATGTTCCCTTCATGATTTATTTTGCATAAACTATTAATTTGTCCCTCTATATATTCTATTCATTTCTAGATAAACTGGTTATCCTTTATTTTTCTGATAATTTTTTCATTTCTACCACTCTTTTTTTCCTGTTTTATTTTTATTCATAGTACATGCAGCACAGAGTCTGAAAAATTGTTAGATATGAAACTGTTGAAAAAAATGTCTGAAGTGGAAATCACCTACCTTGGTTGACGATAAATCTTAACTTTTGTATTGTTGCCAGATTGCCACTAACTCGATATATTCCATCAACATCTAGACCTGAAAACAAAAGGGCATATTTTATATTGGCACATGTAAGAACTGAGATGGTAAAATTAAAAAAAAAAAAAGCTATGAAAACAAGAAGTAAATCACATCAAATATCTCTTCTCAGAGAAAAGTAATTTCTATGTTCTAAATCATGTAATCTTCAAAATTTTAATCCCAATAAAGTAATCATAGTATTCAGTCATAATTAAAATTATCATCATAAATTTGAGTCTAATTAAGGCACAAAAGAGCAGTAGGCAGAATGTGATTACATTTTATATTTAAAATTCATTTCCAATGAAAAAATAGGAATCAAACTGGATGGTGGGGGAAACCTCCAGACATTTGTGTATTATTGCCCTTTTTTTTTTTTTTTTTTTTTTTACAAGGTAAAATAAGTCTACACATTTGCGAGACATTGGTACTGGCCTGGCTTACTGTCTTCCTGCCTTTCTGTCTCTCTTCTTTCCTCCCTCTTCTCCCCGCAGCTCCTTTTCTTCTCTCCATTTCTATTCTATTCTATTCTATTCTATTCTATTCTATTCTATTCTATTCTATTCTATTCTATTGTATTCCACTTTATTCTATTCTTGTTTTTCTGTGATCTCCACAGAATAACATATTTTGGTCTGATTAATTGAAACTAAAGAGTAAAAATTCTACTCCAGATATAATGCTAGTATATTATAGGTAATGGTGTGCCTCATTATGGAGAGAAAAATAACCTTTGGCAAAATGGTAAAATGAGTTTCAGATTATTTCAGAACTGGTCATCTGTAATTTAAAATAACTTATTCTGGCAGTGAATTTCAATAATCATTCACTTGTTTTCCACACATCTATTTATGGAATCTAGGCATTTTCACGACCACATTATGAGGACAACGAAGAAATGGCAAAATGAAAAAGAAAACACTTAGTCAAAAACTATAGTACCTAAAAATGCTGATAACATAATTGTAATGTCAAGAGTGTGTATTCTCTGGGCACTCAGAAAGACCTAGGTGAGATTGCCAGCAGATGCAGAGGTCTTATCTCAACAGTTTCTCTATGGAGGTGATACAGCATCATGGATAACCATTGTAATTCACAGTAGTATTAAATATATTGGTAGAAATTATTACCATAATATAACAGAATAAAGGCTTTCCAAAGCTCTTTACTGATATAAAAGGAGCTCATTTATTGCTTTACCATCTCTACATTTTTATACACTTTATATTAGGAACAGTTCTGCCATTATGAAAAATATTTCATTGGGAGGTTATGGTAGAATAACATAACTTATAACATTGGTAGTAATAGCATAATTTAGGACAATCATTCACTATAGTTTTTACTCTTCCATGTAATAAAATATAGGGTAACTTGAGATAATGGCAATAAAATGCAATAGCTATTAACACATGTATTAATTCATGTGAGTTTATAGTTTTAGAATAATCTAGAAAATTACTGAGACTCTGTCTCTTCCTGAGAACTGTAAATTGTGAGGAACTAGATGAAGCTGGATACCAGTTAGCCAGTGGTGAAAGTTTGTAAGACATATATATTTGTAAAAATCAAATATATTTTTTCTTTGTGATGCACAAAATACCTCCATTAAGCTAAGTCTCCTCTAGTTTGTTTGTTTTAAAGTACAATTTCTGCTTGACACCTTAAATGTGATAATAGTCCTAATTATAATTTTCTAATATTTAATTCCTAGCTTTAGTATTGGTCCATTTTGGTCTTAAGTTCATGTACTTACATCCAGAATGTTAAAGGAGTAATTTATGAAAAACTTATTGATCAGTTTTTTTCCTTTGTCATTAGATGCTGTTTGGCACTTAGTTTTAACCTATGAAATTTTAAATAAGGTGATAGATTTTAAAATGTCAAAATTATATATTCAAGTGTGTCTTTCTCAAAGTTTTCTTTCTTAATTTTTTTGAACTTGTAGCTACTGAGGAAATTATTTTAAAATTCTTCTCTAAAATCACCCTCAGAGGCCCTGAAGTGTTTACACAAAAATGTTCATGATGGTATGCTTGGGGCTTTTGAGGAGAGTTTTCAAGTTGGAAGTAGAAAAACATCATCAGAACCATGAGTGGTGAATAAAGTCACTTTGATGCTTGCCACCACAAAGTTTTATCAAATGAACGTGGCTCTGATTTGTTCCCATTGATTATCAGTTGATTTTAAGAAAAAGAATATTTTAGAAAATACAAACATCAATGGGTCTTTGTTCTGTAAATGAGAAATTCTAATATGCTTTTTAAAGAATCAATCAAATCATCCTATTTGCAATAATGATTAAAGATGAAATATGAATATCTATTACAATAGAAATGAGATGCATATTTTTAAAAATTAAGTTTGTTTTGCTAATTAGCTAGACCCTTATCAGAGGTCGATTATAAATAAAATTATTTGAACTTCAAAATTTAATTGCAAATAAGGGACTTAATCCTGACTGTATTTTATTTATTTATTTTTTAATCCTCATTTTAATATGCTTATTCCTTTATTCAAGGTGCAAAATCAAGTGTATGTCTATTTTGAAGTTAGCACTCTTCCTTTTCAAATATTATTATAAATGCTATTGGAATGCATAGTTGTAAACTGGTTTTTAACTGCCGAAATTCCGTGTAATCAAAACTTTCTTTTTCTCTTAGAGTTATAATGCAGAAGTGCTTTCTGTGGTCTTCCATAAATTTCTATAATATTTTTTTAAGTCCAGTAATCAAAACCATTTGAAAAAGCAGTATGGATTGGACATATTGCATATGAACAATTGGAAAGCAGTATATCATTTAAAGAAAGCAGCCTCATCCTAAAGTAATAATGCAACTTTCTTTTGGCATAAAAGGAGGGAGTACGGTTGATGGAGAGTGGGAGGGTAAATCAGACCTGTGCCACCACTGTGGTCGTAGACCTGAGTCACAGCAGAGAAACTGCTTTGTGGCTGAATACAGAAACCAGAAAGAAAAAAGGAGTAAAGCAAAACATATTAGATGCAATATGAATCTATCTTGACACAACTTCCAAGCTCCTTGGATTCAAAGATATCAACACTATATATCTTGTGAACGATAATGATCTCTGACATTAGCAGCTCCTGCTTTGAATGTCTCATGCTTTCCTGCTATCATACTTTTTAAATTACATAAATAGAGTGAAAATGACAAAGCATATAAAAACAAGGGTATTACATTTTGCAAAATAATCTGGAACATATCAGTGAATTTTAACAGTTATAAATTATATAGGTCCAGTGTTGAAGTTGATTAGCATTTTACAGAATGGCTCACAGAACGGCAAACCCAAAGTCCTAGGACTATTACCTAAATTACAATTAGTCACGTGCCATCCTCCTTTTATTCCAAGAACTTTGAAAGTCATGCCAAACCAAACCAATGTAAATTAGTGGATTTGGACATCCTTTTCAGGCCCACATTATTCTTGCTGGATTGCAAACTACTTATTTTGGAAATATAATTAGACTTCATATGATTTTTAAATGAGCAATGTCTTAAAGGTAACTTTTTTGTGCTTTGGAGAAGTTTGGTGAAAAATCGCTTAGAGAGGTACCCCTTTCAAGAAAATAACATGATTGTAAATGCTGACAGGAATTTTGCCTGTTATGCTAAAAATACTTTGGGAACATGGTAAAACTAAATCATTTTACTTTTTTAAAATCAGACTGGCATTAACAGTAGCAATGAAAAATTCTCTGAAGAAATCTACATTCACTGAAATATTGTTTATTTCTTCATCATCGGCTGACCTTCTTATATTTCAAAATAGTGTTTACTGTTGGCAGAAATCACTGGGTATTGCTGTAGGGGATTTTTTAAAGTCTTCCTACCCCTTCCCTCATTTATTCTGAAGAAGCCTACAGTGCGATAGACACACAATTAGGAGTTATTAGACCAAATGGTGGGTCTAAGCTCAGTGGAAAGAATGCAGCTGTCATGAGTAATTCCCACCATAAATCTTAGCCACTTTGTAAAAAGAAATCTAAGACCAGCACTCTGTCCAGAGTTGACTGGCTTATCTGCCAAAATATGACAGTTTTTGACAATGCAGATGAGTCTGTTAAAAATAGTCTAAAACTGGTTTAGGTAGCATTTTTGGTGGAATGCTGGACAAACCATGCAGATGTGGAGTTTGAGCCTGGTTGAGTGGTGTGCCCCCAAAGCCTGCTTGTTTTTTTGATCCATAACAAAATGCATCTGATCCTCTGCAGTCTGCAAATGTGGGCTGGGAATTTTGCACAAACAGTCCCTCTCCTGAGATTTATGGCACTTCCTAATTCCTAGGAGGCCAGAGCTACCACAAGAAGAGTCATTCTCACAATACTTTGGACTTCTGGCTTCTCCCTCCAGCAAAAACCTTTGAACACAGAAACACTCAGATTACCCTCAATCTCTGCACATTTCTCTCTCGATCCTTTCAAAGTTCTACTTGGGTTCTGAGCTAACATGAGAAGTTTTGGTGCCATTCAGACCTATCCCACCTCAAGTTGAAATGTTTCAAACATTGTTTTTCTAGCTTATTTGTTCATACACTTTAAATTCAATGACTGAGAGCACAGCATATAATTTAAAACTTTAAATTCTCTTCCACCTCAATGCCTGGTGTTTATTTTGTACCTATCTACCATCTTTATTCAATTATTGTTAATTTCTTATGAGATTCCCATCTTTCAATAGCCTTGCTATTTTCTAAGAATGATTCTCTTAGGAAACAGCTGGCAGAATTTTGACTTTCAAACAATAATAATTTTATTCTACAGGGTAACTATATAACTTCATAAAAAACATTCTAAAGATATAAGCAGTTTTTTTTTTTGCTATACTTCTATGGTTAAAAAATAAAAAACAAAATTAAATCATTAGAACAATATATAGTCAGAACTAAGTACTGTAGGTGCTCCAACATGCTTTCCAAAAATAGTCATTGTTAACAGTTCTATTCTAGGCCAGGCTCAGTGGCTCACACCTATAATCTCAACAATTTGGGAG